GATACAGTGGTTTTGATGGGCGGTATTGCCTGGCATATGTCATCAGGGCCTTGAGAATTGAGGCCTCCGTGGACCAGTCTATTTTCTGACCCCAGTGAATACCAACTGGCTGTTGTGGGCCTTCTGGTGTTTTCGACTCTTCCGTACTTTCACAGTTTCAATAGCTCTTGGATCCTATACTTTTGATCCGACCCGAATATTTTAAAACCAAAATAGTTAAAATGCTAAGCCACAATGTGTATAGAGATTGTCTCTTACTGACTTCAGTAGTTAAAATATTAAGTTTTTATATTAAAATTTTTTTATTTAAATTTTGTAGTTGGGTTATGAGAATTAAAAAAGAAAACTATCTTATATTGTATAACTCATTATTTAAAAATTAAAATAAAAAAATTTGTATAGTATTTGTTAGTTAAATAATAGCATATAGTGTTAATTCTTCATTTAAAATTCTACTACCAAATTGTATAGAGTTGGTAGAGTTCTTTGATTGTTAAGTCAATAACTTGGAATGGAATTTCACTTTGGCGAGGGATGCAAGAATTTCAATTATTTGTTAAAAAATTTTAGTGACTCAAATAATCATATGACATGTTATAAAAAATTATTTCATGTTATAATGTGAGTTTCAAATCCTACTCTTCTTATTCCCTTCTCCTTAATTCCCCATGTTAAAAAAAAAAATTTCTACTATTTGTTATAGTGCATATATTTAGGGCCCTTTAATAGAAATTTTTTTTTTTGTCAACAATCTTATTTTTCATGAATTCGCAAAAGAAAGAAAAAGGTATTTATAAAAAAAATTAAAAACTAGGTTTTGCCAAATAGCCTCTTTTAAATCAAAATGGGAAAAAAAAATTAATTTTAAAGTTTTTGTTGTTTGTTTTTCTTTTGTTTTTAAGAAAAAAAATTTATAGATTATGATAAGTAGTCACCTCTTTGACAATATACTGAGCGCCTGGAGACATGGATGGAGGGAGAGAGATGAGATGGCAATATGGCATTATTGCAGATTAAATATCTCAAAATAAAAATAGTGCTAGTTAGAAAATAAGAACCATATATGTTGTGCATACTGCAAACATGTTTATACTACTACAATTTATATGTAGCAAAATCGCACAACATAATCTTACACACCATCTGCAGCTCGACAATTTCATAGCTAGCCATACTTCCAAAATCCTAAAAAGCATGCACGCATATAACAAGACCAGTTGATCAACCATGCTGGTTTGGAGAGTGGCTCCAGGAACCACCCGCTCCGCCGTGCCCTCCACCACTGCCGCCGCCACCACCAGAACTTCCTGCCCCACTTCCAGACCCATAACCACCACCATGAGCTCCACCACTTCCAGACCCATATCCATACCCGGATCCTGACCCGGTTCCAGAACCATACCCGTATCCAAAACCCCGCCCAAATCCACCAGGTGACCGCCCTGACCCACCACCAGAACCCCATCCACTTCCTGGGCTGGAACCCCATCCCCAGTTGTAGTCCCAGTTAGGCCCATGACCCGAACCACTTGCTCCAGTAGATTTTCCGCTTGACCCGCTAGGATTCATGGCAGCAGACGTCTCTGTTTTCCGGCCTCCAAAGGCAGTAGCAGCACCGGCAGAGAAAACTCCGGCAAACAAGAAAAAGAGGAAGAAGGCAAGATGGAGAAAGCTGAGGCGAATTTTCAGGCACATTTTTATGTGAAGTTTCTAGCATAGGATTAGTGCATGGAAGTGGGGTATTTATAGTGCGGTTGATGGGCAGTCGTAACAGTATCTTGGAAACCCATTATGAGGTGCTGCACTGCACATGTCAGGCCGTCACGAATTAATCACAAAGAAGCACTAATTAAAGTACCACGCAAGTTCCGCACCACACCGCCTTTCAACTAAAAATTAACATCATCATTACATTATCCACATAGTCCTTTTAAACATAATCTGACCCACAACTTGTTGGAAATTTATTGCTCGTATTTTCATTAATTAGTGGGTAGGTTTTCTTTGAAACGCCGGTTTGATGAAAGGCAAAACTATCTGTGGTTCTCTGCCACTTATTAATTGACTATGGAAAATGATTTTTAACCGTTTATTAATATTGCCAACAAACTTAAATAGTTTAAATAGTTTACTAATAATTCTTTTCTTTCAAAAAAAAATATATATCTTAATTTTGAATCACATGACATATAAATAGAGTGGAATAAAAAATTAAAGAGGATTACTTCCATTGTACAATTAAGATAAAAAAATTATTATTGATATTAAAATTGTATGATATGATGTGATGTAATTTTTATTAATTCTTTTAATTTTGAGGGACATATGTGAATTTGTATACATTTACTAGTTTGATATTACATGGATATTATAAAATAGGCTTTTTTAATGATATAGGTTAAAAGTACATTTTCATCATAAATTTATATAACAAATATATAAAAGTTAACTAATAATCTGTTAGTCTGAGTAAAAAAAATTTAATTTTTCTTAAATAAATTATTGAGTTTAAGTATTGTGAATGGAGAAATAGGTGTTGGGAGAGTTTTTTCCTTTATGAGGTTCGATATGCCTCAACTCTGAATTAGTTGAGATTCAATGTAGTTGTTGAATGTCGAGGGGTTAATACAAAATTAAAAAATATATAAAAATTAATATTAATTTTAGTATTATTGTTATGTAGATAAATTTAATTAAATTATCGATAAATTAAATGTCAATTTTTATTTTTTAATATAAATTTATGACAAAATTTATATTTATTATATTTTTAATCTTTGCTTTTACTGTATAAATTTAAAAAACCCTTATAAATTTATAATGAATTTTTCAAAAAATGACTTCTATTTCTCATTACAATGCCTTTAAAAAAAAAAAAATCTTACAACATTAAATAACAATAGTTATAATTAGTTATTTTCATTCAATAAAATATATCAGTAGTTTGATGAGAAATTTCCATGGTAAGATAATACTATGTGAACCAAATCTCTATTTGCATTGCACTTAAAGTGCCAAGAAAAATGCTAGGGAAATTAGTGATTACGCATGGAGAATTTGGAGTAGTGGATATTTTGCCCACTTGTGAGAAACTATTTGGGGAGGAACAAATGGATGATGGTTATTAAAGATGGCATAGCAACTTTTAGTGGAGGTGACTTTTATACCGGCCGTATGAGCACACCCATGACACGTACGTGGAAATGGAACCCATGCCAAATCCACCTTTCTTTGGATCGCATTATAAGAAGTTAGCTGTCTACTCGCTTCCCGAAAAGTTCCATTCTGCTTCTGCTTGTGCTTTGGTGGGGAATGTGCTAGCTTTGACTTCCACGTTTTAGGATTTTTGTGGGTTTTGATCTCATTAATTCCCTTCACGAATATGGGATTTTTGTGGGTTTTGATCTCCTTAATTCCCTTCACGAAGATGACATGATCTTGACATGTGCTATATATATCCTTTTCATGATCTTCTTTCTATCTTATGCAAACAATACAATAAGGAACTTACAATAAAACTTGTCTTGATGATGTGTAATGGTGTATTCCAATATGATGACCTAACGTCAATCGGACATTTTGTTAGTATAATTGATAGAGTATTTTTCTTAAAAAAATCATAACTCACAACTAGGCCAAATTTCAGGGCATGATTTGGTGTGTTTTTGCTTGGTGAGTCCCACAAATTTTGGCTATATAAAGTGTGATTCGGCAATG